GTCTGACGCGAGTTCCCGAAAGCCACTGCTTCCAGTTCCGCCTTTGATTTTGAAAAAGCGCTTAATAGCGATGTCCTTGTCTTTTTCAACCGAAGCATAAGTACCGCTTCCGAGCTGTCGAGTCATTATGTTTTTCATTTAACGAGATTTCCGCTTTACTTGTTCGTCCACATCATCCCACTTATTCCTATTTTCTTTCGTTCAATAAGGCTTCTATTTTCGCCCACTTGGCGTTTTGTTTTGTGTTATAGTCCTGCCTTTTTCCTAGAAGGCAGTCTCGGATTTCAGCAAGTTCATCGTGTCGCTCAAGAAGTTTCCATATGAGAAACCTACTAGAGGGCAGATCCTTTGGGTTCACTGAAGAAAGGAGTTCCAAATCTCTATGAATCTCTAGCTCTCCCTTTTCTGTTAGCTGGGGTGGAACGACTCCGTAAGCTTTAGAAGCTACGTACAGCTTATGATCCTGACTTAGTTTGAATTTTTTCAAAACTTTGGATGCATTATTTATACGTTCTGCCCAATTTCCAGCTGGCAGTTGAGAAATCTCCTGTAAAATTTGGTCTTCATTTGTGAAAGAATAACTCTCTTCTCCTTGAACCATCAGCAACATCGTCTTGAGAGATTTTCTTTTTTCTTTGAAAAATTTTCGAGAGTTGACTTCTCTTCGATTAAGTGGTTGGAAAATAGATGATTCCCATTGTTGATTGAAGGGTCCTTTCAAAATGATCTCTAAACGAACGCAGTCCTTCATTCGGTCAACAAAGCTATAAGCGCTGCTCATTTTTGTAGGAGTTTGAACAGTGGTAGACTTGAGCAATTCAAGGCAGCGATGGTTTTTTTCGAGTTTTCTTTCGAGGTTTTTCCGTTCCCACACTGTCGCGGCGTTTGACTGAAGTGACTTGGAATTTTGAAGCGCTTGTTCCGAATGGAAATTCATACTTTCGGCTAGAGCTTGAAGAAGAGTTTCTTTGGTCACTTCTTCGGCAAGGCACTTCATTTTTTATGCTAAAATACTCTGCAGATAAGAAAGGAATGGAAACTCCTCTTGCTAAGGAAATTTCGCCTCAGAAAAAGAAAGAAATCGTAGATAAGATAAAACTTATAAAGAAGCTCATAAAGGAAGTTGAAACTTCAGAAAAACAACGCACAAAGACCTAGAAAATGGGAAAGCTCAATCTGCAAAGTGAAATTGAATCCTTCTTTGCTAATCGAGCCAAGAATATTTTCAACGTCGTTTTCCTGGCCATCAAGTTAGTTTCTACGTACTTCGACTCCAACGAAAGAAACAAACGGAAGACTCAAATTATGCTTATTAGAGAAATAAAGGATCGAGTAATTGACTTAGTTCCAAGCAGTGCCCGCGAAGATTTAAGCAAGGCACTTGATGTAGGAGAAGACACTTTAAACGACTTGATTCAAATCGCAGAAACAACAATCCCTCAAGTCAATAAATGCTTAAAAATGTGCTGGTGAGGAAATTGGAATTGGGAAATTGGTGGCTTGGCTGAGTGATGTGGGGAACAGTAGAAGAATGTCCAGTCTGTTTGGAATGGACGAGCTCCTTGGAGAAATGCGACTACTGCGGATTTGCTTCTTGCGTAGTCTGCTTGCGAAAATTTAGCAAACCCATTTGTATGAAGTGCAAAAAACCTGTGAACCGTGCAACGTGGGTTTCTCTTTTGGGCAAATCTCATAAGAGCTTCGACATTTTTTTTGCAGATGATTTTCTGCGACAGGAAAGGCTCAGCTGGACATGGTATTATAACAGGTACATGGAGGAACGTAGGCAGGCATTGGAAGATGAATTTATTCGACCTTCTTTAGTCGCTTCGGCATTCAATAAGAAACGTCATATCCCTCCTTTCCACTTTTTTTGTCCTTGTTCATCAGTTGTAGGCAAGTCAGGAGCTTGTACTGGCTGTCGCAAGCTTTACTGTATTTTGTGTCAAGATGAATGGAATCCCAGCCATGTATGCAAGAAAGAATCGCTTGAATCCGTCAAAATTCTAAAGAGCACTTGTACTCCTTGTCCGGGATGTGGAGTTTGGATCTCCAAGGATGAGGGATGCGAAAGAATATGGTGTAGATTCTGCGGTGTTGTCTTCTATTTTAACACAGGAAAGCCAGCTATGTCTTTTCCTTTTTGGAACAGTTATGTGCAGCCTAGGCTTCTTTCTGAAGAGAAGAAGCAACCTCCACCTGAAATTGTTGAATTCATGCGCCGTCAGTTACTTCCCAGTGTAGCTGATTCCATTTTTCATTTTAGGTGCAAGCTTTCTGACTTTCATGTAGATAATTTTGTCAAAAAAAACCTGCATTTGAATCTCAAAGAAAAAAGAATGAAATATGCATTTCTATTTATGGAGAAAAAAATAGAAAGTGCAGAATGGGCAGAACTAGTTTCCAGAGTTTTCATGGAAGAACATTATTGTTCATCGTTGTCCGGGATCATTTCATCAGCAATTTCCAAATTAGATGATGTTCTCAAGTCTCTTGCAAAAAACAAGAACGGGATAGTGGCTCTACGTGGTTTTTATGAGACTAAATTATCTATCACTTCGCAAGTGATGGAACTAAGGGAATTTTGTAACATTACAGATGAGTTTCTGCCTTTGGATAGCGTTCTCCATCCAAGTGAATAATAAAAATACGTGTTTTTTTTGTGTATTCATAGCAAAGTCAATTGGGACAATCCACTTATCACTCTCACGAAATAGGCTTTTGTATCGCATTGATTGGAAGAATACGCAGCTATAGCTGTGGTGGCTGTTAAGTTAGAGGCTAAATTAGTTGGAAGAGAGAGCTTTGAAAAAGTGGGATTCAAGGAACTTTGTGAAGCGCCGTTGAGAAAAGAGTCGCTTGTGATAGAAGCTCCTTGTAAGGTTTTTTCCGAAACGTAAAATTGCGAAAAGGAATACACTTCACTTCCTGTTCCTATTTTAGGTGCATTATCCGTAGTTGAACCTATAACCGACCCATTCTGATAGAAAGTAAAGGAACCTGAAGTGATAAGCAGAGACACTCCCTCTGTAGCGGCGCCGTTGGAGTAGCTTACTGTCGACGAAGAGGAAGTAAGAAGTGAAATAACAAGTCCATTCGGATATTTGTCTGAAGACTGGTTGAGTCTCCAAGAAACTTGAATGACAATGGGTAAGGTGAAAGACTTAGAATTGAAAGTTGCGTAGGATATCGTAGGAGGCACAGAGCAATAGAACCCTAGAGAATTCACGTAGTTGCAAGGTCCATCGATGACACCATAGACTCCCGTGATCAAATTGTTCCCGCAAGTTTGGTACCCACTGGAGTTTTCGTAAAGACTTATGGAAACCAAACAAGTCTCGCAGTTGCACCTGTCGTAACCGTTGGAAACTGCTCCAGACTTCCAACCTGTTTTTGTCTCATAATAGTCAATAGTGGAGTATTGCCCTACGTGGTCATTTAAAACAGTCCCATCCGAACAACTGAAAGGACCGATATTGTACAAAGTATCGAAATTTTGGACAGCTGAGTACCCAAACTTAGTTAAGAAAGAACCTTCCGGACAAGAGTATGAAAACGGAATGGGGTGACCTGTGCTATAGTAATTAGGAGCTGAGCTGCTTGAAACTGTCTCGCTAGAAACTGCTCCAATTGTAGGAAACTTCAATGAATTCCCAACTTCCCAAGAAGGGGTATTCGAAGAACTAGGAGTAAACGTGGGAGTTGACTTTGATTGGAATGTGACGTAGTCATAAAACACAGAACTGCCGTTGTCTACTCCTGCTGTGCTCACCAGGGCACTGCTTATTCCCGTTGTGGTGTCATTGAACAAATTGGAGCTTTTACTGTAAACTTGATAATCTACGGTAACGGATTCGTCCACTCGAACTTCAGTGGAATAACAACAAAGTAGTGTCCTATTGTTGAACTAACATTGGCCACAAAACTATTGGTAGAAAACTGTACATTGGAAAATTCACTATTTGCCTCGCTAATGTCAATTTCAAGAAACTGAAGGAAGCCCGGGTGAATGACATTCGTCCCGTTGTTCTGGAAAGTGACGCTTTTCGTAGT